GTCTTTGGGACTTAAAGTCAAGCAGTTGGTGCATACAGATGACGAACCCGTTTTGATGTCACTGAAAGCATTGGAGACTGAGCTTTGTGTTCAGGAAGTGGCAGCAGAGGGAAATCGATGATAAAAATGGGACCCCCTCCAACCCTGAGTTGGGAAAGTTACCCGTTGGGGAGAATAATGAAAGTTTATCAAGGAAGAGCTTGGTAACGAGAACATCGTGATTTCTGCCTTTCTCAGCCTGAATCCCACTCACCCTTGAACCTGTGTCTCAGGCCTTCTGTGATCTGAGAAGCTTCACTGAAGATCCCTTCCTTCTACCCCATCCCACAAGGCCACCTCTCCCCTGTGCCTTCTCCATGTTAGTGTCCACATCCTTCGGTCCATTGTCATTGCTGCTTCCTGCTGTCATTTTCAGTGACATTCTTCTTCTGACTTGGGCTTTATTATTATTAATTATTATTTTTTATAACATTCTATTGCTGTACATCCTTTGGCATGTAAAGAGAAATTACCCAACGTGAATTGCACCTCAGACCAATTCTAGTCTGGGCTTTTTGAGGGCCAGGATTTATCTTGCTCACTTGGGCCTGACGCCATGTGGGTGCTTGGTAAATGTCTCATGAGCCCAGAGCTGCACTTCCCCTAGCTGGTGTACTCATGGTACCCACAGAAGTGGGCTCTCAGCTCCCAGTTTTCCAGCCGGGCAGAGCTGGGTAGTTATCCTCAAAGGATGAGTCCAGTGAGGGCGGCTGCTGTGGTATAGTCGCTGATGGCTCGCTCATCCTCCCTCTACCCGATCTTGTGTGCTTAGCAAAAGTTAGCTCTCAGCTCATGGAAGTACTTTGAGACAAATCTGTTTCAAAAACAACTCGGGGAACCAGCAGTTAGCGTAATGGCTATGTCGCTGGATTCCCACGTAGTCGACCGCGGTTCGTGTCCCGGACCCGGTGGCTTAAAACTCACACCGGGCGCGTGTGCGTGCGTGCCCAAGATCCCGAGAGGAGAATGGAGGAGAAGGGATTGTAGCATGACCATCCCCCCTGGGGGGTGATTTCTCGCTTTCTGTCTCTATGTCTCTCTCTGTCTGTCTGGTGAGCGCACACGCCCTACAGTGAAAATCTCTCAAAA